ATATAATCACAGAATATGTGACTCACGGGAAACAGATTAATAGCTTGTGAGGTATTAATACATAGACGTATAAAAAAACCAATTGTACCGCCCCGACCAATACAAGGAAAGCCACAGGTAAATAGCAAAGGCATCAACAGCCGTCATTTTGGAATCCTGTAAATACCGCACAATACCTACCAAACATTTATGCACCAGCGTACGGACAATCGTGAGCTACGAACTTCTCATCACAGCCTATTAACATATATAGCCTATACCTAGGGCACCGCAAAGATTCTCCACTAACTCACAGGTATTTGGGAAGCCCATTACTGCATTTGCACCCGGTAGCAATAAACCGCAAAATCCAGTTACACCTATGTCACGAGTTTCCAAAATACCATCAACAGTAAATAAGAAACCATTCGCGCCTTTCAAACAGAATGCTCGGCATTACGTTCCTGGGAATCCGACATTCAGAGCTACTGGACCCCCTGATTTCATAGCCGAAGAACTCACAAATGTAGAATATCAAGAACAAGATAATTACTATTATCCAGAGACGGAGACATTTCAGAACTACGAAGAATATTCAGAGAACATGCAGTTCTCAACCGAAATAAGTGTTGCACAAACTGAAGCACCCGCAAACCAGGATTTTCACGAGGACCAAAGACAAAAACGAAAGGAATAGAAATTAATACAGTACTCAGTAACTCACTACCATATATAGAAATTGCAAAGCCATGGATGAAACTGTTGATAGATAGAGGATGTAAACTTCCATCGTGCGACCTATAATAGCGGAACAGAACTTCGCACATCAGATCTTCCGTAGTAATACACTAATAATTATGTGCACAGGGCAGCAAACAGTGAGAGAAAAAGCAAAAATCCCCGTTTTTAAAGAATTCGATCAGCACAAGCCCATGGAGTTCATTCTGTTCAATTTCTACGATTATTACGATGGACTCTGTAACGTAATTTTTCTTTAACTTGACCCGACACCGATAGCGAGACATACGGGAACGACTATCTTCGAAAACCAACCTACGTTACCTTCGGCCGTCCACCCGTCGTTCGTGCATCCGCAAGCCAGGCGGGCGCCAGTCAATTCTTTTTTCACCGGGAACTGACGAGCCGGTATAAACTGGGAGTTGGGATGGAACAGGCCCAACTCCACCAAGAACGAGAGCTCTGACGGAACCTATCAGAAGAGGCGATAGCTTAACGGATCCTGTCGATTTTTGGGGACGCGTAAAATCGAGAAACGCAACCGTAGGTGCTGATCTTTGGGGTCGCGTAAAATCAGCAAACGCAACTGGATACACGAACGGGAGCGGACGGTTACGGAAATGCACGGCCGCTCAGGCTGCTAGGTTTGAGGTAGAGAGGGTCGGAGTAAGAGTCCGGCAAATAGTGCGAG